CCATGCTGGTCAGGTGGTCTACAGGTCCCCACTGCAGCTTTGTTCCCTTGTCCCCCATCCCCATCTCTACCTGCTCACAGGCCCTGCCCTGCAGGGTGGTCTATTCTGAGAGAATTAAGTCTCATCACCTCAGACCTACCAGTCAGTCCCGACTCCCTTCAAAGAAAAAACACGCAAGCTGATGGGCACTCGAGATCCCCTAAGGACCTCGCCAACTGCTTCTCAACCCATTTCTTCCTTAGACCTACAAGTCCAGGGCTAGCAGACTGGGCCCCAGGCTCCCTGGACATGGGCACCCTGGTGAGTGTCTAAGCCCCGAGCGCTGGGCAGCCGGGCAGCACACAGCACCTGGATGCAGGAGCCGAGTCTCCAGGGCAGCCTTGAGGGACACGAGCAGCTGCTGCCTCTGGTCTGTCCTCTCCAGGCAGTACTTGAGGTCCTCGATGGCTGGCCGGGAGTCTGGAAAGTCTACAAGAAGAGGAACATCCCTCAGGGATGGACACAGATGTGTGTGCACGTGCGGGCTGGTGCAGGGTGTGTGCAGTGTGTGAGAGGACATGCGCTTGCCAGCCCCAGGAAGATGATGAGACCACCTGCTAGGCACCAGACGTCCCCCCGGACACTTTGGCGTGCTGATGCATTTGACCACAATGCCACAGGGTGGACAGAGCAACACCTGGGGCCAGTCCCCAGCAAGAGCCAAGAACAAGGGAGCATAGCAGTGGACACCTAGAAGCACCATCCAGCATCTGCCACACCTGCCCTGATCCAGGCATAGGGGTCACCCGCGGTGGGGAGGGTCCCAGCCCTGCCCGGTGCACCCCCCTGCAAGAGCGACAGCGAAGGCACAGGGAGCCCAGACTCTGACACAGAGGAGACACGGCGAAGGCACAGGGAGCCCAGAGGCAAATACAGAGGAGACACAGCGAAGGCACAGGGAGCCCAGACTCTGACAGACACAGAGGAGACACGGCAAAGGCACAGGGAGCCCAGACGCAGATACAGAGGAGACACAGTGAAGGTCCTGGGAAGGCTCCCCAGACAGGAGAGAGGACCCCGAGGCCGGGGCGGGACAACCTCGGATGATGCTGAAGAGCTCCTCGATGCGCAGGCTGGCGTAGATGCGGTAGAAGAACCTTTGCACGTGGCAGCGCCAGCGGCGCAGGGTGTTGCCGGCCTCAGGAGACGCAGGCCTGGCGGGGCCGTCCTGCAGGAACACCTTGCCGAGCCAGCCGACCACCCGCTCGATCCACTGTCAGGAGAACACTAGCGTGAGCTGTAGAAAGCCATGGTGAGCCCCAGGTTGACTCACAGGCTGGGAGGAGCCTCGCAGCCACCCACTTTGTCAGCCAGGACCAAGGGGAGCCCGAAGGCCACCTGTGTCTAGAGGCGGAAGCACATCAAAACCTGCAGGGTGGGTGATGGCCCAAAAGGCGATGTCCCGGCCCCCCTGCGGTCTTCATGCCTCTCACACGCACCAGTGCCCACACTTATCACTGGCAACAGCAGCCCTAGCATGAGACGTGACGGACACACATGGCCTGTGCGCTGTGCCTGGTGGGCACATTTGCTCCCACTTAAATGGATAAACACGCCCTTGAGACCAAACGTGTGACCAACCCCCACTCCCCCGCCATGCAGATGACACCATACATCACAAGAGCGTCTCTGAGTGAGCACAAACCCCTCGATGGCAATTCCACCGCGGGGCCCAGGCGTGCACACATCCCACAGACCTGCTACCCAGTGACAAGACCACACGGATGTTCACCCTCTCCACCCTACTGCCCACTCTTGCCCACCGCTGTGGGGACGCCCTCTCTCTCTGAAAGCCTGACATCACAGCCAATCTGCACCTCAGTAGGTGGACTCCGAAGCACTGAGGAAAGGACAAGTGACATGTGGGAACAGGGTAGGGGGACCCAGAGGGGTGGGCCCAGCTCCCCTATGGCCCCGGGAGCCCAGAGCAGAGCCCCAGACCACACCCAACAGTGCAGATGCCTGGAGGCCCCATGTGAGGGTGTCTCGCCCCTGCTGTGGTGCAGGCTGGCTGTAGGTCAGTCCATGAAGGACCGGCCAAGCAAGTCCACACTCAAGTAGGGCAGCAAACAGGAGAAGGGGGTCCATTCACTGGCCCTTCTGGTGGGCCCGGCTTCGTCACACCTGCCTGGCGCAGCCCCTGAGGACCCTGGCCTGGTATTGCCTGCAGCCATGGGATTCTGAGCAGATCTGGTGAGCGCACCTCAGATGTGTCCTTGCTGTCACCAGGGCCCAGAAGTATTGGTCTCTACCCGACATCAAGACAGCTCCAGCCACCACCTGGTCCGGGCCCACCTAGGTCTCCACACTCTGGATGCTTCTGAAGCCACGTGTCAGGTTTGCCAGAAACCTACTCCCCTGTCCCCAGCGGGGCACAGCCCAAAGGAGGGGCCCTCACCTTGTGGAACTCACGCAGGAAGGAGCGCTCGTACTCGCCTCGGCAACGGTCCTCCATCCTCTCCCGGGTCACCTGGTGCAGGGTGGTGGTCACAGCCTCGGCACTGACCCGCTCCAGCAGACTGAGCCTGTGTCTAGAGGAGAGTCCTAGCCATGGGGCACCCACAGCACACACCGGCCCCTCTAGCCCAGAACAGCCCCATGCCAGGACGGTCCTGCCTGTAGAGTGCATGCAGCACACACACGCACACCCCCACACCCAGCATGCACCTCCCCACAATCCTCAGCTGTGGGGGCCACTGTGCCTGCCAGCCCCGAACCAGGGCGTCTGCGACCCCTGAGGAATTTCCAGGCAGCCATGTCAAGGTCCTCATTCCAACACATTCTCCATTGAACAGCCCTGGAGAGTGTCTGTTCCTTGTCAGGGGAAAGGCCAGGACAGCACAGAGCCCACTCTCCTTGCCTGGTTGGCCTGGGGCACTGGTACCAAAGGATTCAAGAAGCCACTCGGAGCACAAAGCACTCCCAGGCTCTGCTGTCCCCGCCCAGCTGGCCTCTGTCCAGGTAGGGGCACTGGACTTCTCCATGTGATCAGTGGCAGCAGGTGTGGCTGTCAGGGGCCCTACCCTTATCTCCTAGGATCAACTCTGAAACGACATCCAGTTGCACCGCTACTCTGGTCCCAGAGACACAGATGCCACTGTTTGTGCCTTTCAGTGCAGTCTGTGGTCTACAGTGGCAAAAAGACTCCAGAGGAGAATGAGAAAGGTTGCTGTGTAACTTTTGCTGGGATGAGCCCAATAGAAGCCCTTCATGGTCACCCTGACCTCTGCCAGCAACAGGACCACTCTTTTAGTCCACCTAAGACCTCTCAAATAGCTGCATGGCCATACTTCTGTTCAATGTGACAAAGCCACCACAAATGGCCGAGGGTGTGACAATTGCTAGAGGACTACAACAGGACCTGTCTCTCACAACAAAACCCTCTCCTCTCCAAAAACCCAGACAGGAGACTGCTTGCCCTCACAGTGACCTGATCTCCCTGGAGAGAAGCAGCAGCAGGTTTCTGTTCACAATTACAGGGCAAGGAATGTCGACGAGGGTGAGAATCATTCCTTGCCCCAGGGTCGACAAAAGGCACGGTGGAATTCTGCAGAGTCTAGGAAGTTTGGAGTTGCTAAGAAATTTGCTGCTGCAGACACAAGCCACATAGGGCCTTACCACAGGCAAGGCATGAATCCGTGGGACTGCAGGTGAGTGACAGAAGAGAGACACCTGTGTACAGGACACACTGCACAGGAACCCCGGGGACTCTCTCTCTGTCATGTTCCTGGTTATCAGGACGGCTCACCAGCTTTCTGCAGAGGCCAGCTGGACCCAGGGGAGCTCCTACTGGTTAGTAGGAGCGAGAGTACGGCCATCAGGACAGACTACTCACAAGACCTGGCTGAGCTGATGGAACTGCTCCAGAGCCTGGCGACACCAGCACTGTTGCTTGTCACTGCTGCACCCTGCACACAGCGGGCTCTGCAGGAGCCGGTAGTACCGGCGACGGGCATACCGGCTGTCCAGCTCCCCCTCCAGTTCCGGGTCCGTGCCCCCTTCCCCCTTCCTCTTACTCTGCATATAGACTCTCAAGAAGCACCCATACAGACGCTGGATCATCTCTTGGAAGGTTCTGGGGGTACTAAAGAACAAGACTCCGCGCAACATAGTGTGAACTTTTTCTCGAAGCCCCTGAGCACCAGTGCCCATCAGCAAGCCCAGGCGAGTCCATTTCTCCAGCAGCTCTAGGCTACGCAGGTAGGGATCCAGGCGGCTCTCCAGCAGGCCAAAAGCGTCAAGGAGCAGCAGAAGGCACTGGGGCTCATCCGTAGAGTTCTCGCATTGGGAGATGGCATTCCAGAACTCAGGGGAGATGTTGGCCTGCAGATCGTTCTGCAGCACCTCTACGAACCACTCCTCCAGGACCGAGTGCAGGCCGTGGCCCCTCAGAACCTCCACCGCCGCCCGGAGCTCCTCTTCCTTTGGCGGGACTGCACCGCTGGTCCGGGAAGACACCTGGAGCGCAAAAAACCGTGAAGCGAGGGGAACACAACATAGAGGTGGGGAGAGGCGGGGAAGGGAAGAAGCTGAGGGGTAGGCTGCAAAAACTCCGCTGCCCCCTGTCCGTGGTGTCCGGACGTTGGGCCGAAGCTAGGGAAGGTCTGCCAGCGGAGCTAAACGAAATGAAATGGAATGGTAGTGGAAAGTGGCAGGACAGGGCAGAGGCGGATGACGGACAGAGCTGTATGAACCCGAGGGTGGCCGCCCCAAAGAGCATAGGGTCCCGGAAACTCCGCGCGGGGCCGCCGCTCTCTTCCCAGGCCTCACCAGCCCCAGCGCAGCCGGCGGCACCAGGCCAGTGCTCACGGTATTCCAGGCCACTAACAACTCCTGTCCGGGCCGGGAGTCGCTGTCCCCCTCCGCCACCACAACTGCAGCCGCCATCTGCAGACACCGGCTCCGAGATCCCCTCGGCACGGCGCAAGGCGATGACGCAAGTCTGCACGCACAGCCATGACGCGCACAAGGCGCTCAGCGATGACGCGCTAGTTCGGCGCGCCGTCAGGGAGTCGTGCGCAGGCGCGGACAGCGCTGGTTCCGCGGCGGTTGGGGTGGCGGGGCCCCGGGCGGCGTAGACCATGACCCAGCAGGGCGCGGCGCTGCAGAACTACAACAACGAGCTGGTCAAGTGTGAGCGGCGCAGCCGGGACGGGGAGGTCGGGAGGGCCGCAGGGCCGGGTTCCCGGCTCGCAGCGGGGTGCCCCTGGACCCGCCTCGTTGCGGGCATCGCGCGGCTGAGCAGAGCCCTCCGTGCCGGGGGCTGGGTGTCCGTGGCCCCGAGCCGTCGCTGGCTCGCAGGCCCCGCGCCAGGTGCTCGGGGGTGGTGCCTGACTCTGGCTTCCTCGGGTGGAAGGAGGCCCGCCCTCCGCCGTCGCCCTCCTGCCCTGGGCCCACGGCGCCGCCCCTCCCGGCCCCCCAGGCATAGAGGAGCTGTGCCAGAAGCGGGAGGAGCTGTGCCGGCAGATCCAGGAGGAGGAGGACGAGAAGCAGCGGCTGCAGAATGAGGTGAGGCAGCTGACGGAGAAGCTGGCCCGCGTCAACGAGAACCTGGCACGCAAGATTGCCTCTCGCAACGAGTTCGACCGGACCATCGCGGAGACGGAGGCCGCCTACCTCAAGGTGGAGCTCGGGAGGCCAGGCGGAGCATCAGGGGGTAGTCGCGGCAGGGGTGTAGCCGCGGCAGGGCGTCAGGACCGTCTGGAGCTCCCAGCTGTGGGCAGTCTGTGCCTCGCTGGCATGTCGGGCAGGGGCAGCGTGGCCAGGCCCATTGAGGAACCCAGGCTGCTGCGGGAGTGACCGTGGGGCTGTCTGGGGGGCCTGGGGCATCCTGGGTCCTGGTCTTCATCCGGTTCTCGCTAGCCATGTGGTTCTTTCTGCTTAGAGTGTGAAGAGCCACGTCTTGGGCCAGTGCTAACCCAGCCTGGCTTTGAGGGTGGGGAGGAAGTGTTTTGGGTCAGATTCAGGAGGGAAGAGGGCCCTGTCACCCCGTCTGCCAGTCCCCTTGGGCTTCCGCCTTCCCCCGCACAGGATCCCTTGGCTACAGCACCCACAGCCAGGTCCCAGAACCTGAGTGTGAGGACAGCTGGGGCTTAGGACCTTCCCAGCAGGTGAACAGTAACAACTTTCTCACTTCTCTGGCCCCAGATTCTGGAGAGCTCCCAGACTTTGCTCAGCGTCCTCAAGAGGGAAGCTGGGAACCTGACCAAGGCTACAGCCTCAGACCAGAAAAGTAGTGGTGGCAGGGACAGCTGACCAGACCACGGACAGGGCCTGCCTCCGTGCGCCCCTCAGCTCAGCCCTGACAAGTCTGTCCTCAGAGCTTCTTTGTTCTTCACGGCAGCAGCTGCCTTCCCTCACTGTCTCCGGTGCCGAGAGGGGCGGCTGCCAGCCTCTACTGGCATCATTGACAAGCCCAGGGCACAGCCCACCCAGGGGCTTCGTGCTCACACGGGCTGTGGGGATGGTGGGTTCCAGGTCAGCTCTGCAAAGGGCCTGTCTCTGTGGCACCCACACTCCTGCCCTGCCAGGGAGGCCCTGGTTGTCTGAGCACCATGGGGGCCCCCTCAGCTTGTCCCTCCTCAGCCAGCAGAGGCCCAGGGCAGGGGACAGGGGTTCTCCTTCACCCCAGAACCCAAACCTCAGGGCTCACCCCTGTGGCCTGTGATTATCAATAAAGATTATCTTTGTAAAGGTCCGTGCCAGCCTGCTGCTTGCCCGTGTCAACAGTGTGGGGCTGCCAGACACCCGCAGAGCCAGAGCCTGAGGCTCCCCCTTGGGAAAGGAGAGAGGAGGCGTCTGGAGTGGTCTCCCTGTGACTGCCCAACTAGCCTCAGGGACACTGCTGAGGGTGGCCACCCTGCCCAGGCCAGCGCCACCCTCAGCCCTCCCCAGCAGGGCCGCTGCTCCTCTTCCCCTGACTGGCCCACAGCTCACCCTCCTTTCAGGAGCTCTGCTCGCTCGTCCTGTTCTCTGCCACACCCTGGTGTCCAGCATAGGACCTAGCCCAGAGAGACAGCTAGGGATGCCAAGCATATCCAGCAGCTGCCTCAGACTCAGGTCCTTCTCAGCAAGGACTGGGGGGCTTCACACCCCCCACCCCCACCAGTTCCTCCTTGCGAGTCCTGCTTGGCCTGATGACACCACTGCTGCCACCAGGCCCTGCTGCCCCTTTCCCTGGCCGCATGCCAAGCACTGGCCACCTCCATCCTTCCGTGTGCCCTGGGGCCTCTGTCCTGTCCCTGCAGCAACCAAGCACTGCCTGAGGACTGGGCCTATTTGGGAAGCGTGTGTTGATCCAGAGGGTCCAGAAAAGAACTGGGCCCACCCCCCAACCAGGGAAATACACCAGACTCTCCTTCCACCGGAGTCTGGCTGGACAGCATCTCTCTGCTCTAGGGTTTGGTTCTCCAGGGAGGAAACAGGGCTTGGGTTCAGAGGGTTGTAAACAGCCCCAGATCTGGCTGCCCGGGCAGGTGCTGATCCCCACTTGCCTCATCCTGTGGGTCAGGGGGCACGCCAAGCCCAGCAGGAGACACTGTACCCTGTGCTGCCCTCATGCTGCCCTTCCCTTGGTCCCTCCACAGGCTCTGGGCCCCTCAGAGAAGTCACTTCAGGCCCAACAGCTGCAACACTCACCCTCCCACCTGAAGTCTAGGCCCCTGACAGCAGGCCTGGCATCCTACCTCCCACAGTGCCAGCTCTGGGAGGCTGGGGTAGAGGGACAACAGGTTAACAGGCCGTAGAAGTTGGGGGGTCAGAGCCTGGGCCACTGGGACATCAAGGATTGGGGGTACCAGACTGGGGTCCCCTCCCACACACCCTGGCACAGATGTGCAAGCTGGGGCCCACTGTACCCCATGTGGCCTCTTACTGCAGAGACCTGCCCCTGCTCCCCTCTCAGCCAAGGACCACGCAGTGGGGATGCCAGCAGCCTTGTCCAGTGCTGTTTATTGAGTCCATCGTCAGAGGCAGGAAAGATGCCACTCATCACAGAGGGCATGGGGGCTGCGGGCAGGGGCTTAGGGTCCTGCAGAGGACAAGTAGCTGGGACAGCCCTTCACCCCAGACCCCCCATGGCCGCTGGGAGGCAGGCTGAGGAGACAGGACAGGGAACTGCCAGGTGTAGAATCTGCACAGTCCCCTGCCGGGTTGCAGATAGCCACCACCCAGCAGGCCCCTGACCTCACCCACAGGCAATTCCCCACCCCACTCCCCACCTGGGCCCTCCCAAACCAGGGCTGGGGAGTGAGACCCAGACCTGGTCCCAATGGCAGGAGGCACCCTGGCTGCTTCCAGGGCCAGGAGGGGTGGGTGGAATACAGTGAGGCCAGACAAGGCAGAAGTGGGTGCAGTAGTCCCTGGCTACTGCCCAGCTTCCGGGACTCCCACAGCTGGGGCTCAGCGTTGGTCCTGGCAGTGCTGGGCTCAGAAATAAAGGGCTGGCTCGCTGCGGAAGTCCGAGAGGTCATTCTGACTGGCAGGTGTGAGCTGAAAGTGAGAGAACAGAATGTGGACACATGGGCTCGCCCAGGCATCAGACTCCCCGCAGCGCTCCCCTCCCCTGCAGCTCACCATGGCCTCTGTGGGCGGAGGCTCTGCCTCCCTCGGGGCCTGCTCTAGTGCCTGCTCCTGCCACTTGCTGAAGGCCACAGAGTGCTTCGGGGTATAGCTGGACAGGCCTGTGAACGGAGATGCACACGTGGACATGTGGACACAGACCAGGCTCCACCCCACCCAGGCTGCCTGTCCCCCTAGGTGGGCACCCACCTGAGCTGCCCTCTGGCAGCCGAGAGCTCTCCGGTCTCACGCTGCTCACAAACGTGGCCCGGGGCAGGAAGAGTGCAAAGGGCTTCTCCTCTGAGCCGGAACCCTCTTCCTCCTCTTCCTCTTCCTCCTCTTCCTCCTCCTCCTCCTCATGCTCCACCTCTTCCTCCTGTGCTAGGGAGCTCTCGGAAGGGTACTCAAATGTGGTCTGCAGGCTTTTGTCGTTGAAGGAGATCTTCATCTGGGAGTGAGAGTCACATGAATGAGGGCTGAGGGCCCACATGGGCACAATGCCAGGGGCTCACGTCCAGCCCTCAGGATGAGGCTGACCCAAGTGGGGCACCGGACGCGCCGGATGCACCATCAGGAGGTGGCTCCAGGAGGTGGGCGAAGACCTCTCCAGCTGGACCCTGCTGACGTCCATCCCCTCCACCCTGGGGGCCAACTTCCCCTCCCCATCCCAACCAGGGAGCAAACTCTGATCAGGACCAGAAGCCCAAAGCCTCTGTGTCCCCAGAAGCGTCTAAACCAGCTCCCGGGGCTACCATCTCAGGACCCTCCTGCTCTGCTGTCTGGGCAGAGCACCAGCTGGGGGGACACTGGGGTGGACACATCCCCTCCCACTAGAGCAGGAACAGGGCGGAAGAGAGGCTGTCCCCTCAGGGGTCTTGCCCTCTAGACTCCAGGCAGCTCCTGCTGGTGTCTGGGGCCTCTCTCTAAAGCCAAGTTCATGTCCTGGCTTACTGGATGCCTGGACAATCCGGCAGAGCACGGACCTCCCCACTGCTGACAAGGGCCTCTGTGAGGCGTCAAGGCGGGGCGGTAGCCCCAGGCACCATCACCCACCTAACATAGTTGAGAGTTGGCCTGAGGCTGTGCAGAGTGTGGAACCGCCTCTACTGAGCCTGGGTGCCAGCGACCCCAGCAATGACCCCTTCCTCACCCTGCTGTCCCTCTGGCCCTCGTCCTCCGTCCCCACTTCGTAGGCTGCAGGATTTCACATCTGAGCAAATGCTTTCCTTTCCCCAGTGGCCTTGAAGCCCAGGCAGGGCTGCTGGTTCCCAGGGGCAATGGGAGCAGTGGTCAGGACTCTCCATCTCCCCTGACCGGGGCTTGCATGGGGCTAAGCTCCCCACAACAGCCGAGCTCCCACCGCTCAGCTGCACTCAGCCCGGCCCCAGTGGTCCCCCATGAAAATGAGCAGCCCCCACCTGCAGCAGATGGGAGCGGCCCTGCCGGAGCTCGAAATATTAAACTCTTCCTGGGCACAGGACACCAGCAGCTCAAGTTCCTCCTCCTCCCCTAGAAGGACCCAGAGGCAGGAGCCGGGCCCCAGGCAGAGAACCACCGCAGCCAGGCACAGTAGGATGAGACAGCCTCTCAGGAAGCAGCTGAGGCCACACAGGGCTGCCAGGACAGGGCCGAGGGCACACGCTCCCGCCATCATGCCCTCTCCCGCAGTGGCCACACGGCCCACAGCCAAGCGTACCCTTGGGTCCCTTCTCACCATGAACATCCCCACCTCCCACAACCGGGGGGCCACCCTTTGTGCCCAAACCTCCAGCTTCCCTTCTCAGCACAGCTCACACAGAGCCCTGCTGGGCAACTCAGCTGCCTGCTTGCCTCCCTACCCTAGGCCTCGATACCCCAGCTGTCTGCATGGATGAGTGGGGGAGGGGGAGGCCACCTGGGTCAGACAAAACAAGGAGAAAGGCACCTGTCCCTTAACTGCCCTGCCTGTGGCTAGGCCCACCTGGCCCTCCAACGCTCATCCCACAGGAGGCCAGGCAGGGAGAGGCTGGGACAGACCCTACAAACACCCACCCACTGCCAGCCCACTTGGGGATGGGGTCACCCAGCCCTCCCAGACTCATGCTTTGGGACAGATACCCCAGGTGGAGGTGCTCAAGGCAGGACGGGGCTGGTGGGCCAGAGGTCTCCCACAGCCCCAAAGTCCAGCAACAAATGGGGCTTCCAGTCGCCCTGGATACGTGGAGCTAACCCAGATGACCCCGAAGCCCTCCAGGCCCAGCCCCCATGGCTGAGAACACAGAAGGGCCGGCTGCCAGGGCTGCAGGATTAGTGCCCTCGCTCGTGCACATGACCAGTCCCAGCAGGGGGGCTGCGGGGGCTGGGTGCACATGGGCCCTGAGCCTGGTACAGCCTGGCCAGGCGGTGGGGAGCGGGGGGTGGACAGGCAGCCCCTGTCTGCCCTCAGCTGAGGCCCAGGGCTCTGGTCACGTCCTGCCTCCCCAGGTCTCCTCAGCTGGGCTGGTGCACAGCCCTCCCCTCCCACTGTGGAGACAGGTCAGTGGGTCACAGGACACCCCGTGACTCATGCTGTGGTCAGCCTGAAGACCCCAGGACGCAGGATGGGCAGAGGGTGTGGCCAGGGGCTGGCAATGCAGCCTATCAGGGACTTTGCCTGGCGCAGCCAACAGAGAGCCCGCAGGCGGGTCCCGGCTCAGCCCAGCCTCCCAGCACAGCCTCCTGGCTTCTCAGGACCCGTTTGTTCTTGCTCCACTCACCCTGCCTGTGCACACCTAGCTTTGGTTACCAAAGGGCCTGGCCTCCACCCGGGACAAAGGGCCAAGCAGCCAGCCCCAACCTGCCCAGATGGAGGTGTGAGCTGAGCCCAGCCCTGCCCCTCCCTCCTCCCTGCACACGGCTACCTGCCTCCCATCCCCCACGCAGCCCCAGCCAATGCTCCCATGGGTGGCCGGACCCTAGACCAGGCTGCCCAAGTGCAATGTCCACAGCAGGCTCCCGGGACGCTGGGTGCTCCCTGAGTCAAGTGTGGCCCCAGCGCCAGGCACAGCCTCCACCCATGAGAAAGCTGAGGGAGGAGGGTCCAGGCAGCTGCTGGGGTCCCTGGCTTCAGAAAGACCACCTAGGTGGCACCTATGGGAAGAGCTGGTGGAGAGGCGGGAAGGGAAGGAAAGTTGACAAGAAGGGGCTCAGCCAACAACAGTGAGAGATGCAACAGCCCCTGGCCACCCAGGATCGGCGCTGCACAGGGGGAGAGGCAGGGAGGAGCCCAGTCTGGGGCTTGGTGCTGGCCAGGAGGTGGTGTCAGCAGGAAGGGCAGATGTCAGGGTGGCACTTGGGTCTAAGGATCAGAGAGCGAGGCCTTGGGAGTGGAGGCGGAAGTCCCACAGCAGGTGAGGGCAGACGGCCCTGGGTGTCCAGGACTGAGCCCTGGGGACACTGACATGTTCCGGCTGGGCAGAGAGCCAGAAGGGGAGGAGGGGAGGAGGGGAGGAGGGCAGAGGGGAGAGGAAGGGGCAGCCAGACAGGTAGGAGCCAGGCCAGGTGGCGCTGCACGAAGAGGAAAGGCTGCAGCGCCAAGTCCCACGGGTGGCAGGTGTGAGGATGAGAAGGGATGCCCCACCCTCCAGGAAAGCAGCCTGGGCGCGGCTGCAACAGCACACAGCAGTCTGCCCCAAGCTCAGCCTGCAAGACGGTGCACCTGCCGCTTCTGCCAATGGACAACTTAAATGGGCCTGTGCCTGCCAGGCAGCTCCCCCCCCGGCACATAGGCCAGCAGCCCCCCACTGCCCAGAGCAGGGCAGCACCCCTCAGAGGCGGGCAAGGGCATCATACCCTGTGTGGGGACAGCCAGCCCCAGGGCAGGTGCCTCATAGACTCCCACCACCCAGACAACTCCACTGAAGAGCTGCCCTTCATCTGCACACCAGGAAAAGCAGCAGCACCGCCAGTCACTGAGGCGCACAGTAAGCCATTGGCCCACAGTCAGGTCCCGCTGGATTCCAGGCCCGGCAATCCCTGCACTCCACCCCCATGCTCTGGGGTCACACACAGCCAGTGGTCCCAACCAAAGGCTGGGGCCAGCACCGTGGCTCACGCCTGTCATCCCAGCACTTTGGGAGGGTGAGGCGGGTGGATCACCTGAGGTCAGGAGTTCGAGACCAGCCTGGCCAACATGGTGAAACCTTGTCTGTACTAAAAATACAATAATTAGTCGGGCGTGGTGGCACACACCTGTAATCCCAGCTACTCGGGAGGCTGAGGCAGTAGAATCACTTGAACCCTAGGAGATGGAGGTTGCCCTGAGCTGAGATACTGCCACTGCCCTCCAGCCTGGGTGACAGAGCAAGACTGTCTCAAAAAACAAAAAATAAAAAAAAGGCTGCCTAGGGTGGTCAGGCAAGGCCAGGTACAGGACTCGCATGGGGCACCTTGCACCCCCACCTGTGAGTGCTCCTGGCCCAGGGGCCACAGAGTACATGGGACAGCCCTGCCCCGCAGCCCACTGTGCCGAGGCCAGCAAGCCATTCTGAAAGGCAGGGCAGCCCCACGCTTCCATCCCCTCCTGATGGACATTCTGGCTCTTCCCAGGCAGGGCAGCTGGCCTGTACCCAGGCAGGAAGTCACAGCCAGCAGGTCATGCTGCTCTGGCAGGGCCCTGCCCGGGCCACCTGGCCATGCCAGGCATTGTCCATCTGGACCCCCACCCCTTCAGGCTGGCCCGAGCTCCTCCCTCCTGCTGATCCAGGGCCTGTTTCCCAGGCTCAGCTTCTCTCCCTGACTGCATCTTTCTGCTCCTGTTGGCCCTCCGGCCCCCACCCTGCCCTTCTGATTCTAACCCAGCCAAAAGTGACCCCCACAGTTCTGTCCCTTTTTTTTTTTTTTTTTAAAGACAGAGTTTCACTCTGTCACCCAGGCTGGAGTGCAGTGGCGCCATCACGGCTCACTGTAAGCTCCGCCTCCCAGGTTCACGCCATTCTCCTGCCTCAGCCTCCCGAGTAGCTGGGATTAAAGGTGCCCGCCACCACACCCAGCTAATTTTTTAATCTCTTCTTAGTAGAGACGCGGTTTCACCATCTTGGCCAGGATTGTCTTGAACTCCTGACCTCGTGATCCACCCGCCTCGGCCTTCCAAAGTGCTGAGATTACAGGTGTGAGCCACCGTGCCTGGCACAGTTCTGTCCCTTCTGAGGGCAACATGGCCAGGCTCTAGGCAGCGGCCTCAAGTCCCAGGAAGAAGCCAGGCTCCCAGGGATGGCCACACAAGTTACGGGGAGGGGTTCTAGAAACAGGAACCTGAACTCAGTTCTCGCCCCACAAGCTCCATGACCCCATCTGACTCCTGAGCTGAGGTGCAGATTCCTCTCTACAAAGGGGGAGGTGTCCCCACTGCCACCTTTGGGGCAAGACCAGGAAGCACCCACCTCACGTAGCCAGGGCCAAGGGTACGGATGCAGGGGAGGGAAAGGCAGACAGGAGCTGGGGGAGAGAGGCTGTGGCTATCAGACCGACCCCACCTCGATGGGCTGGGGTGATGCTCGGGCGAGGGTTGGGGAGACAGACCCATGTGGCTCCAGGAATGGGAGGGGCCCTGTGCCCAGCCCCAAGCCCCCACTGGAAGCACCTCAGGAGGGTTAGCATAGATGCCTGGGCCGGCAGACAGAGCAGGCAGAAGCACCAACACCCTGGTTCCAGGAGGGGAGGATGGACAGGGAGAGGCGCAATGCCAAGGCCAATCCCAGGCAGGAAGCAAACAGAGGGAGGCAGCAGCCTGTCTGCTGAGGGAGCCTGCAAGGTCCCATCCCCAGCCTGGGAAAACTGAGGCTGGAGGACAGCCCACCTCAGGGGTGAGCCTAGCCAGCACTGGCTCTGGGGCAGTGCCTGGACAGGAAGAGCCAAGGGAGACGCCCCAGGCCCCCGCTCAGTCCCCAGGGAAGGTACACCTGCTTCCTGACAGGTCACCGCAGATGGGGAAGTCACGTGGAGCTGCCCTTGGAATTTGCCCCGGGGAACAAATACAGGTGCAAGAATGACCAGGAAGAATCTGAAGATTTTCTTTTTCCTGTGCCCAGAGGGTTCCAGGCCACTGGCCAGGAGGGAGACTCCCCTGCCTGGCTGGCTCAGAGCCTCCAAAGTCCCCTTCTCCCCAGCAAGCTTCCCAGGCCCAGAACAGGCATATACTAGACACTCACGCAGCATTCCTGCCCAGCTCCCAGCCAGTGTGCTTTCTGGGGCGTTGACAGCCCCCTCCAACTGGCTGGTGGGCTGCACCCCAGGGCTGACCGTGATGCAGGGATCTGGCCAACCCCGATCACGGGCCTCTTCCCACTCATCCTGGCGCCCTGCGCCCATTCAGCGGGGCCTCCAGGAGACGATGTGAGGCCACCCCCTCAAAGCCAAGCCTAGGGAGGAGCCCACAAGCCCAGGTCTGCTTCTTCCAACTGGACTGACAAAGGGACAGGCCCGCCCCGCTAATTCCATATGAGCCACAAGAACTGGCAAGAGGCACAGCACTGTCTGCCCCGGTGCTCTCCAGCAGCCTCGCAAGGCACACAGCAGGTCAGCTGTCCCCATGGCCCAAGTCAGGGGGCCCCACTGGGGCCCTGGACCCGGCACAGCTCACCCAGCCCCAGCTCGCCTCGAGTCCATATAGAAACTATCCTTTGCCCAAGCCAAGCGTCCTGGGATCAGGGCAGGTGCTGCCCACACAGTTCTGTGAGCTGTCACTCTCTCCCTCCTGGCCAGTGGCCCTGCCCCCACCACTGACCTTCTTTCTTGAGGAGCCAGCCTTGGTGAGGCAGGACTTCTGCAGGGCCAGGTAGCCGCCAATCACTTCGATCTCATGCACGGTGGGGTAGCGCTTCTTCAGCGTGGGCCCCAGGAGGCCACCAGCCTTCTCCTCCTCGGCCTCCTGTGGCCGGGGCTCCCCGTTGGCCTGACTGAAGTTCTGGCCCAGCAGGGCCCCTGGCTTCCTCTTGGGCACCACTGTGAAGGTGTTGCTGCCCTGGGGCTGAAGCTCTGCCACGCACCCGGGCCTGGCAGGGCGCAGGGAGCAGGGTAGTTTGGCTTCTTGGGGGGCCTCCTCCTCCCAGTCTACCTCATCGATGAAGGTGACAGGCAGCCCTGGCTTCCCGTATTCCCGGCTACTTTTGTCCAAGCCAGGAACCCTGAGGCCCTCAGCAGGCTCAGCTTCTTCTGCAGCAGCCGGCAGGAAGGGGGGTGGTGAGGACGGCCTCTGCCACCTGATGGCCCGGTCAGTGAGGGCGGTGGCTGTCCGGGGACAGGCCCCCTCCTCGACTGCCCACTGTGCCTCGACCTCCACGGGGCTCTTCCCTTGGGCAGGCGCACCATCCCCTGCAGGCACCGGCTGGGATCCGAGCTCCTGGCTCGGGGAGGCCGGGCCCACCTCTCCCTTTGGCAGCTCCACGGACTGCACCCCCTCAGGAGGAGGGGCCCCGGAGGCCTTGCTCTTGGGGATGAACATGAAGGAATTTCGAGAGTTTGCGCGGAGGCTGGCCAGCGCCCGGGCCTGGAGGTCCCCCGAGGGGATGGTCTCCATATCTGGCTTGGGGGCCGGCCGAATCTCGAAGGAGTCGTTGGCGCTGGTGGCTGCGGAGACGCACTGGCGCTGGCTAGGAGTGGCACTGGCAGGGGGCGAGGCTGGAGTGGCACTCGGGGTCCCGGGGCGGGGGGGCGGGTGGAGGGAGGGATCCCCCGACTCCACCTTTGGCTTCCACTGTCCCGACCCAGGCGGGGAGCCCGCGAGGCGGTTGGCAGGGCCGGCCCGGGGCTCCGGGACCGAGGGCCCGTTGGAGAGCAGGTGGGCGTCCGCACCGCGATGCAGACCCCGCGGGTGAACGGTGAAGGAGTTGCTGCCGGTCTTCTGGAGGAAGTCGCTGCGGCGGGCCCCGGGGCTCGCCCCTCCACCGCGGGGCCCGGGCGCGACGGGCGGGCTGGGGGCCGCGGGCGGGAGGCTGGCTGAGCCGGCTGAGGCAGTGTCCCCCGAGGGGATGGTCTCCATATCTGGCCTGGGGACGGCCTAAGGAGCCGTTGGCTGTTTGGTGAAGGTGGAGACACTGGCGCCTGGCTAGGAGTGCACTGCAGGGGCGAGGCTGAGTGGCACTCGGGTCCCGGGCTGGGGGCGGTGGAGGGAGGGATCCCCTGACCACCTTTGGCTTCCACTGTCCCGACCCAGGCGGGAGCCCAAGAGGCGGTTGGTAGGGCCGGCCTGGGCTCCGGGACCGAGGTCTGGAGAGCAGGCCCGCACTGGCGAGACCTCTGCAGAACGTGAAGGAGTTGCTGCCGGTCTTCTGAGGAAGTCGCTGGGCGCGGGCTCCCTGGGCCTGCCCTCCACCGCGGGCCCGGGCGCGACGGGCGGGCTGGGGGCCGCGGCGTGGAGCCGGGCCAGGTGGCGGCGGCGGGGGCGGGGGCGGGGGCGGGGGGCGGGCGCGCTCGGGGCTCCCGCGGCGGCGCGGCGCAGCGGGCGGGTCGAACCTCTCCAGCAGGCGGCTGACGCGGCCGGGCGGCGCCCCGTACACCAGCACCTCCGCGGCGCGGATCTGCGCGGACCCTGGGGCGGGCGGGGAGGGCGGCGCGGGCGGGAAGCCGGGCACCGTCTCGATGATAAGGACGCTGTCGGCGCGGAGGGCGCGCACACCGGGCACGCGGCGGTACCGCTCCAGCAGCCGCGCCCCCGCCGCGCCCCCGCCCCGCCGCCGCTCGGCCTCCAGCCGCATGAACGGGTTCTCGCGCAGCGGGCCCAGGCTCTCGGCCAGCACCCGCTGCTCGGGCTCCGCCGCCCCGGGCCCCGCGCCCCCTCCCAGCGCGACAAGTTTGGCCCGCTTCCGCTCCAGGATCTCGCGCTTCCAGGCGGGTACCGCAGCGCGCGGCCCCGAGCCCGGCCGCCCCAGGGCGGCCATGCTTCGAACGCGGCCGCGGACGGCTGGACTGAGGGCCGGAGCGGCCGCCTCAGTCGCGGCAGACCTGGGCGCCGCGGCCACGCCCCCTCCCGGGCCACCGACCATTGGGGGGAAGCCCGCTCTCCCCGCCCCGCGCGGGACGCCCACCTATGGCAGGAGAGGGGGGCGGGCCCCTCAGGTGACCCTACCGATTGGACAACACTCGCCTCAACCCCGCCTCCCAAGGGACTTCATTGGACAACGCCTATCACCGGAGCCGGCCTCCATTGGGAAGGCCCCTCGGACACACCCAGGCGCCTTGCGCCGCTCACTGGCGGACCCCACTTCCGCCCCTGCGCTCTCGCCTCCCGGCGTCCCTGGGGAGAGCTGGGTGGGCGGCCCCTGGGCCCCGCGCCCCGAGTGACCTTGGCTGAGCTTGGGACTTCCTCACGCTGCCAGCACCGAGGCCGCCTGTTCCATCAGCTGAGGGTGCAGGAAGGGGGCTGCTCCAGGACCGAAGGCACCCGCGCCCGTGGACGGTGCACAGGCCACACTCTGGCCCGGACCCTGCTTTCACCAGGGGTCCTCCGACCTCCGGCAGGTGCCTGCGGGGCTTCGAAATGCCAATTCTGGAGCCCTGAGCAGCCCCAAAGAACCAGTTTCTCAGAAATCGCTAGTTTTTATAGGCTGCCCAGGTGGGAACCTCTTACCCCAACCTTTCCATCCGTGGTCCCCACAAAGCATGTGCAGGAGCAGGCACAAAGGAAGCAGCCTCTCCCGCCACACGCAAGCAGGCTCACCAGGGCAGGGCCCTATATGCTTGGACAGTTCTCCAATGCATTAAGAGCCAAAAAAAAAAAAGCCAGGGTAAAGGTGGGCCCCATAGGGCCGACCCCTGCGTCTGATCACTCCACCCTGCCGCCACGTTAAGGCTACTCCTCTCCCATCGGTTGAACTTTCCCCCATTAAGGCTCCAGATGCCATGACCCTAAGGGCACAGCCTCCAGGCTGACAAGTCCCTTCTGTCCCAGGGAGGACTTCGGAGTGCTTCCACAGTCTTTCAAGCCTGCAGATAATAGGGAGATCGCTTGGAGCCATGGGGATGGGAATTGGAGTGTGGACATCACCGTCTTTCCATCACCTGCCCTGCAGTCAGCAGTCTGCTCAGGAGACACTGCTGTTTCCCACACCACTTGCCTTTCAGGGACAGGGCTCCAAGGTCACCTGGGTCTCTGCAAAGATGCAGAACAGGTTTTCTTTTTTTAACTTGGGGATGCCCTTCTCAGCTTCTGTGCCCCATGACAGTCTGCAGCAGCCGCTAGCTTAATATTGCCTTATTCTCCTGCCACTCCATTAAGCTGGAAAAAATAAATTTTTTTTTTTTTTTTTTGAGATGGAGTCTTGCTCTTGTCACCCAGGCTGGAGTGCAGTGGCAAGATCTCAGCTCATTGCAACCTCCGCCTCCCGGATTCAAGTGATTCTCCTGCCTTAGTTTCCCAAGTAGCTGGGGTTACAGGCGCCTGCCACGACGCCCAGCTAATTTTTGTATTTTTAGTAGAGCCAGGGTTCTGCCATGTTGGCCAGACTGATCTGGAACTCCTGGCCTCGTGATCTGCCTGCCTTGGCCTCCCAAAGTGCTGGGATTACAGGCGTGAGCCACCACGCCTGGCCAGAATTTCACTTCAGCCTTCCAGAAGCCAAGTGTCTCCTCCCGTAGGGCCCTCCTCAAATCGCCTTTCCAAACGAAGCATCCAATGTTCATCACTTCTATCCTAATAGGGTTGCCCAATTCTGAACTACCAAAATAAAACAGGGGAACACACAAAACACAAAATCTAGAAATAAATAACATTACAAGGAAACTCACTCCCACTGTTCAGCTTGAATCTGGCTTTGACAAAAGTTATGCCGATCCCAGGCTTGACACATTGTCGTAGCTGTGCAACAAACCAGATAAGCTGCCTCCAACACAAGCCCCTCCACGGTTTACACAACTAAGCATACACGCCAGGCAGAGGCAGACACTGCAATACGCTAGCCAGGCTAATGCATGAGAGCAGAGGTCAGCACACCTGTTCTGTAACGAGCCAGATAGGACTTTTTTTTTTTTTTTTTAGATGGCGTCTCCTCTGTTGCCCAGGCTGGAGTGCAGTGGTGCTAGCTATCTCGGCTGACTGCAACCTCTGCCTCCCAGGTTCAAGCAATTCTCCTGCCTCAGGCTCCAGAGTAGCTGGGATTACAGGCATGCGCCACCATGCCCAGCTAATTTTAGTATTTTTAGTAGAGACGGGGTTTCACCATGTTGGTCAGGCTGGTCTCAAACTCCTGACCTCGTGATCCGCCCGCCTCAGCCACCCAAAGTGCTGGGATTACAAGCGTGAGCCACCGCGTCTGGCCCCAGATAGGAAATATTTTAGCCCACTGGTTTCTGCCAGGGACAGTTTTGTCCCCCAGGGCCCTTGGCAATGTCTAGATAAACATCTGGTTGTCACAAGTGAAGGTTGCTACTGGCATCTACCCAGGAGAGACAGAAACACTGCGAAACAGCCTGCATCCTCACTAGAGAATCTTCTGGCCCTGAAGGCCAAGAGTGCCAATTAAGAGACCTTGGACTCTGAGGGTCATATTCACTCTCTGTCACACGTTCTGCTTTTGCTTTTTTTTGCGGGGGAACAGAGTCTTGCTCTGTCACCCAGGCTGGAGTGCAGTGGCGCGATCTCGGCTCACTGCAATCTCCGCCTCCTGGGTTCACGCCATTCTCCTGCCTCAGCCTCCCGAGTAGCTGGGACTATAGGTGCCCACCACCATGCCCGGCTAATTTTTGTATTTTTAGTAGAGACGGGGTTTCACTGTGTTAGCCAGGATGGTCTCGATCTCCTGACCTCGTGATCCGCCCTCCTCAGCCTCCCAAAGTGCTGGGATTACAGGCGTGAGCCACCGCACCCGGCCTGCTTTTAATTATTTAGGGGTGTAAAAACCATCCTCAGCTCAAGGGTCACACAAAAACAGGCCTCAGGACATTGTTTGCTGATCCCCGCGCTACAGAGTGCCAAGGCCCACACAATATCACACACTGGCAAGAAGTCACGGGCTCTGGGGTCACAAACTATTCAACGGGTCTTCAACGTGAGCCTAGACTGTTGTCTTCACACGGGGTGGGGTGGGTGCCTGAGTTACCCGCCTCCTAGAGCAGGAAGGAGGGATTCTCCAGAACAAGTGATTCCCACCACCACCACCATCCACTAAGCTCTAGTCACAGGTTTCAACCCATCTGAAACTGCAGCTCTGTAACCAGTTACACCATGCAGCAGGGAGTATCTCAATATTCATCACATTTAACCTTTGAGGGGTACAGGCAACCACTATTCATTTCAGGAAAACATTATCTTACTTTATTTGCATCTCAGCAAAGGTTCTCATTTGGCACCTGACTGGCATCAAACCAAAGTTCGTAGACCAACAAAGCTGGGCCACTCACAAGTTTCCCATTTGTAGGTCTCAGTGCCTATGAGTATCCGACACCTGTTCCTCTCTTCAGTCTCTCAGGGAGGCTTAAATCTGTCTCAGGTGTGCTACGAGTGCCAGCCACAAGGTGGTGAAAAGGTCCACGGAACTGCAGTCTTCGCTGGGATAGGAAACCAAGCAGTGCCTGGACAGCAGAGCTCTTTTCGTGGGCAAGAGATAACCACACAGGACCCTAATCGTGCTCTTATTCAACATTCTCTCTCTGCCTAGACTGGAATAAAAAGCCAATCTCTCGTGGCATGGGGGAGACACAAGCTGGTTTACATTTGATCTAACAAAGGCATCTACCGAAGTCTGGTCTGGATGGACGGCACAGGGAGCTCTCAGGTCAGCGCTGCTGGTTGGAGGACATTCCTGAGTACAGCTTTGCAGCCTTTATGCAACAGTACTTTCCCAGGATCCACAGGAAATACTCAGAGTCCACTGGGACATTTTACTTATATTCAGCTTCCAAGTGTCAGAGGGGTTCAGGACTGTCTGGCCTGGGGGCCTCCTCAGGACCTCAATTCAGGATTATCTACTCAAAGCATTAAATAAAAAGAAATACATTTTCAGGATGAAGGTTGCTCTTTTAAACCCTGCTGAAGAAACCATTTCAGGCAGGATTGAAATAGGGAAACCGGGCACTCAGTTCGGCGCAAGCAGGAGTTGCCTTTAGACTAGAGAGCCTCTCCTCCGGTGCGGCGCTGGTAGGGCCTCGGCTTGAGGTCAGCATTCTAGCCGTCCAGCGCTCCCTCTCCGGCACCTCGGTGAGGCTAGTTGACCCGACAGGCGCGGATCATGAGCAGCTGCAGGAGAATGAAGACCGGGGATGTAATGAGGCCGAACCAGAGCTCCCGAGTCTGCTCCGCCAGCTTCTGGCACAACAGCATCTCGAAGACGAACTTGAGACTCAGGACCGTGAGGACCCAGAAAAGGCGGAGCACCGCCAGCCGCTTCTCTCCATCCTGGAAGAGGCGCACGGACACGATGGTGGTGAAGTAGGTGCTGAGCCCGTCAGCGGCGAAGAAAGGCACGAACACGTTCCACCAGGAGAGGCCCGGGACCAGGCCATCCACACGCAGTGCCAGCAGCACAGAGAACACCAGCAGGGCCAGCAGGTGCACGAAGATCTCGAAGGTGGCGAAGCCTAGCCACTGCACCAGCTCCCGGAGCGAAAAGAGCATCGCGCCCGTTGAGCGCGGGCCGGGGCCCGGCCGAGCGTGCCACCCGCGGGGCTGCGTCTCCTCTCCCCGTGGCCCTCGCCCGCGCCTGCCGCCGCTGCTGCGAGCAAGAGGTAGCGAGCGGCCCCGCCAGCCCCAGCCCTCGGCCCTGGTGCGCCGGCAATCCCCTGGCCCCGACCCGGGACTCAACCCTGGCCGCCGCTGGACGCCCGCCTCGATCGGACGCCATGCCCCACCGGGCGCGTCCCTAGTGCGTCACTTCCGGTCGACGGCGGAAGGCGGAGAGGTCCCTGTATCCCGACCCGCGGGATCTGCCTTCTAGTTGTTAGTCGCCGACCTGGAGCCCGGCGCGTCCAGATGCCGAACCCGCAGTTTCTGGTGCTCTTTGGCAGCCAGACAGGCACGGCTCAGGATGTGTCGGAGAGACTGGGTCGCGAGGCCCGGCGCCGGCGGCTTGGCTGCCGGGTGCAGGCCCTGGACTCCTACCCGGTGGTGAGGGCTCACTAGGGCCTCGGCGTGGGGGACAATCAGGCCTGGCGTGCCCGCCTCTCGGGGTCATCGACCCAAAAGGCGTCGCATTGTCTCTGAGAGCGGGTCTTTCCCTTATGGCGGATTTAGGGAAAGGGGAGGCTTGGGAAGAGGAGTTCAGTTTAGCACCTGGAGGAGGTTGGAACCTGAAAGAGAAGACGGTCTGGCCGCTCACATAAATCCCTCTGCCCTGTCAGCCTGAGTGAAGGAGAAGGGGGTCGAGTTTTGGGAAGGACGCCCGGTCCTTACAGCCGGAGGTCTTACGTGTGTGTGTCTTTTTGTTGAGGTGAATCTGATTAACGAGCCCCTGGTGATATTTGTTTGTGCAACTACAGGCCAAGGAGACCCCCCTGACAACATGAAGGTAAGGCTGGCCTGATGTGGCTCCTCAGATCCCTGCCCTCGACCCTCACCCCGTTTTCACTGCCTGGAGTCTAGGTGCAGTAAATAACTCTCCTCTATCTGATGCACCTTCAGAGGTGGATTTGAGAGGACGTCCGTGAGTGGAGCTGGGGGCTCCAGTTGCTCTCTCTAATAAACTTTTCATAGCCACCAAATAGCGTTATTATGCATTTTAACCTTTCTTATTTTTCCAGGGCTATCTATATGTGCATCTAGTCTGGGTCTTCTGTGTATTTCTAGACTGTATGACCCTCAGGAAACGTTGCTGAATTCTCTGACCATCTTTTAGGCACGTATTCCATTCTTGGCACACTCTGGTGCTGGGGATCCAGCTGTGAACCCAGCGCCATATTTCCGTCCTGGCAGAGTTCATACTGTAGCAGAAGCACCTAATGGGCAATGACAGTGCCAGCGACCACCTGCAGCTGGGAAAAGTAGCATATGTCACAGGAGCACTGATAAGGGGCATCGAGCTTTATCTCACCCAGCCTTGGGGCCCAGGCAAAGGTTTCTGGAAGAAAAGAGTGTAAACTGAGTCACCGAAGAATGCGTGAGGGCTAATCAGGCACCAAGGAAGAAGGAGCAGTCTGTGCAGAGGAAGAAGATTATTTGGCTTGTGTGAAAAGTGAAAAGCAGCTCAGGGTGGCCAAGCTGAGGAGTGCACTGGGGCAAGAGGGGAGGAGAAGAGAGGCAGGAAGCCAGGCCCAGTCCAAAGAGCCTGAGTAACCACAGCAAGGCAGATGGGCTTGAAACGAAGGGTTGTCGGAACTGTAGGGGTGACCCAGTCATGTTCCTATGCTCGCAAGACCGCCACTGGTCAGCAGGAGAGCAAGAATAATGCCATGAGATGCACAGGACAGGTAGGAGATGCTACCGGTCTGAGCTAAGGTGGTGACAGAAGATAGAAGTGGACATGTTGCACGGGTGTTAGGAAGAGAGAGACCCCGGGACGTGGAACAGACCCGAGAGGTCAAGCAGAATCAAGATAGGGATTTGGGCTCTGGATGGATGGTGGTTCCATCCACAGAAATAAGCGAACACGGTGGGAATAGGTGGTTGTGCAGGAAGGGAACCTGGAGACATTGAAGTGGAGAAGTGCAGTAGGACTAGCGCTCCAAGGAAGATCCTGGGGCACAGGGAGATCGGTGTTGAGATAGCCACAACACAGAAGTATGAGAAGAGGGAGCTCTTCTCTCCCCACAGGACAGGCTGCCCAGAACGTTAGAGCCCAGGAGGGCAGGAGACTGACCAAGCAGCTAGAAGCATCCCCAAGGAGAGGCCTGAGGAGTGGGTGCTCCAGGAAGGGCTCCGGCATGTAAAGCTGCACAGAAGTCGAATATGATAAAGCCTGAGAGGAATCTATGGGATTTCTTGGCAAAGGGATTGTTGGTGATATCAGCAAGAGCAGCTTCAGTGGTTCGTGGGGAGACAACCCAGATTACAGGAGATCAGCAACTCAGTGAGTGAGTGGAGAGCATCTTTTTTTTTTTTTTTTTTTTTTTTTTTTGAGACTGAGTCTTGCTCTGTCGCCCAGGCTGGAGTGCAGTGGCATGATCTCGGCTCAGTGCGAGCTCTGCCTCCCGGCTTCACACCATTCTCCTGCCTCAGCCTCCCGAGTAGGTGGGACTACAGGCGCCCACCACCATGCCCAGCTAATTTTTTTTGTATTTTTAGTAGAGATGGGGTTTCACTGTGTTAGCCAGGATGGTCTCGATCTGACCTTGTGATCCGCCTGCCTCGGCCTCCTAAAGTGCTGGGATTACAGGCGTGAGCCACCGCGCCTGGCCAAGAGCATATTTTAAGAATGTCTTGAGTGTGGGCCGGGTGCAGTGGCTCATGCCTGTAATCTCAGCGCTTTGGGAGGCCGAGGCAGGCGAATCATGAGGTCAGGAGTTCGAGACCAGCCTGGCCAACATGGTGAAACCCATCTCTACTAAAATCACAACGATTAGCTGGGCATGGTGGTGCGTGCCTGTAATCCGAGCTACTCGGGAGGCTGAGGCAGGAGAATCACTTGAACCAGGGAGTCAGAGGTTGAAGTGAGCTGGGATCGGCCATTGCACTCCAACCTGGGCAACAGAGCAAGACCCTGTCTCAAAAAAAAAAGATGGGAAAAACCTGGCATGTTTTCTGTTTTTTGTTTTTTGTTTTGAGATGGAGTCTTGCTCTGTTGCCTATGCTGGAGTGCAGTGGCACGATCTCGGCTCACTGCGAGCTCCACCTCCTGGGTTCACACCATTCTCCCGCCTCAACCTCCCGAGTAGCTGGAACTACAGGCACCTGCCACCACGCCCAGCTAATTTTTTGCATTTTTTTACTAGAGACGAGGTTTCACTGTGTTAGCCAGGATGGGCTCGATCTCCTGACCTCGTGATCCGCCTGCCTCAGCCTCCCAAAGTGCTGGGATTACAGGCGTGAGCCACCGCGCCCGGCCGAAACTCAGCATGTTTAATTGCTGGCAGGGGAGAGATGGGAGAAAGAGGCTGAAGACTTGAGTAGGGACGGCAGGGGATGTGCAGCAGCTGGGGGGAGAGCTGAGCGTAAGTCAAGGGGTCTCAAATAGAGTGGGATGGAAGAGAAGGGGGTTCAGAGTGGAGCACAGACAGGGGAGGGGAATGGTGGGATAGGGAAGCCCCAGAACATGGGAGAAGAGAGGGACTGGGGCTGGGCTGGGCATTCAGTCAGCCAGTGGCGGGAAACTGGTGCTCATGCTGGGACTCAGGTCAACAAGGAAAGGAAGAGTCCCAAGTATGGGCATCCACAGAGAAGACCAGGAGCTGGAGGGGGCAGCTAATGCCCACAGCAGGAACTGGGGGCTCCTTGAAGAGGCCATGGACCCAGAACCCATGGCCTTGGAGACAGGAGCAAGTCTTAGTGGCTATCCATAGCGAGACAGGAGGACCCTGGCTCCTTGCCAATGATGCTGTAGGTGAGGCAGGTGCCCCTTGCAGCAGACAGGAGAAAACAGAGGAACCACAATCAAAGGCTGAGTGACCAGGTCCCTGCCTATCTGGTGAAGAAACCCACGGGGCGCCGGGCAGTGGTTCACGCCTGTAATCCCAGCATTTTGGGAGGCCGAGGCGGGTGGATCACCTGAGGTCCAGAGTTTGAGACCAGCCTGGCCAACATGAAGAAACCCCATCTCTACTAAAAATACAAAAAATTACCTGGGTGTATTGGCGCACGCCTGTAATCCCAGCTACTCAGGAGGCTGAGGCAGGAGAATCACTTGAACCCGGGAAGCGGAGGTTGCGGTGAGCTAAGATCGCGCCACTGCACTCCAGACTGGGTAAAAGCAAATGCACCACAAAGAACCACACCCTACCCGAGGAAGGACCCGCATAACAGGTAGAGATGGGCAGAGGCCAAAGCAGCAGTGGATGTGACCCCCATGGGGCAAGGGCAAAGCTGGAGACTCAGGAACAGGAAACAGTTCTGTTTCTCTTTTTCTTTTTTTTTCTGGAGACAGAGCTCTCGCTCTGTTGCCCAGGCTGGAATGCAGTGGCGCAATCTCAGCTCACTGCCCTCTGACCTTGCAGACTGGGGTGATCCTTCCACCTCAGCCTCCTGGGCAGCAGGGACTGCAGGTGCACACCACCACATGCAAGTAATTTATTTTGTATTTTTTGTAGAGATGGGGTCTCAAACTCCTGGGCTCAAGCAGTCTGCCCGCCTCTTCCTCCCAAAGTGCTAGGTTTGCAGGTGTAAGCCACCACCACACCTGGCCAGAAATATTTAAATGGACATGAAAAAACTTTAAAAGATTAGAAGATTTGGGAGGCCGAGACGGGCAGATCACGAGGTCAGGAGATCGAGACCATCCTGGCTAACACGGTGAAACCCCGTCTCTACTAAAAAATACAAAAAACTAGCTGGGCGTGGGGTGGGTGCCTGTAGTCCCAGCTACTCGGGAGGCTGAGGCAGGAGAATGGCGTAAGCCCGGGAGGCGGAGCTTGCAGTGAGCTGAGATCCGGCAGCTGCACTCCAGCCTGGGCGACAGAGCAAGACTCCGTCTCAAAAAAAAAAAAAAAAGCCGGGCGCGGTGGCTCAAGCCTGTAATCCCAGCACTTTGGGAGGCCGAGACGGGCGGATCACGAGGTCAGGAGATCGAGACCATCCTGGCTAACACGGTGAAACCCCGTCTCTACTGAAAAATACAAAAAAAAAACTAGCCGGGCGAGGTGGCGGGCGCCTGTAGTCCCAGCTACTTGGGAGGCTGAGGCAGGAGAATGGCGTGAACCCGGGAGGTGGAGCTTGCAGTGAGCTGAGATCTGGCCACTGCACTCCAGCCTGGGCGACAGAGCGAGACTCTGTCTCAAAAAAAAAAAAAAAAAAAAAAGATTAGAAGAGGCTGGGTGCAGTGGCTCAAGCCTGGAATCCCAGCGCTTTGAGAAGCCAAGGTGTGGGAGGATTGCTTGAGCCCAGGAGTTTGCAAGAGCCTGTCTTTACAAAAATAAATACATAAATAATTAGCTGGGCGTGGTGGCGCACATCTATAATCCCCACTAGAGAGGCTGAGGTGGGAATATTGCTTGAGCCCAGGAGGTCAAGATTGCAGTGAGCTGTGATTTCAAGACTGCACTCCAGCTTGGATGACAGAATGAGACCCTGACTCACCACCAACAACAAAAAAGGCCGTGGTGGCTCACGTCTCTCATCTCAACATTTTGGGAGGCCGAGGTGGGTCGGGTGTGGTGGCTCACGTCTCTCATCTCAACACTTTGGGAGGCCGAGGCAGGTGGATCACTTGACGTTAGGAATTCCAGACCAGCCTGGCCAACATGGTGAAACCCTGTCTCTACTAAAACTACAAAAATTAGCAAGGCATGGTGGCATGCACCTGTAATCCCAGCTCCTTGTGAGGCTGAGGCAGGAGAAAGACAAACCTGGGAGGCATAGGTTGCAGTGAGCTGAGGTTGCGCCATTGCACTCCAGCCTGGGCTACAGAGTGAGACTCCATCTGAAAAAAAGATGAGAAATCCTAGAAAGTATGACAAAAAGCAAGATAGAAAATGGAAGGAAGCAGATACCAGAATTCGAAGATCATTCCAGTGGCCTCAGAATGAGAAGACAATGGTGGAGAGGAAGTTATCCAGGAAAGTAACAATGTCCACAGCTGGGTCTGCAGCCAGAGAGCCCCATGCCCAGGAAGGGCCCTGCTGAGGATGAAAGGGCTCCCCCGGGGCGTGTCGTTGTGGGGTTAGCCTCTGGGGACAGAGTGCCCTACCCACCCCAAGGGCGGCCAGTGGGGCCCTGGCTCTTCAGCAGTGGTGCCGATCCCAGCACAGACCCAGCTGCATGCCAGTCGAGTGAGGGAAAAGTCACAGAAATGATCTCTGTGGAACCCTTTTCTCGGGAAGGAAGTTCACCAAAGGGAGCAGGAAAGATCCTTTTGGGATTCAGGAAGCAAGGGTGTCTCAGCAGCAGGGCGCTAGGGAGGCTCTCGGGGGCAAGAGGCTGGGTACATTTGCTTGCACAACGTGGCCCAGAGAGGCAGCTGATGAGGCAGTGCTTCCCAGGAGGCCAGGGGTGGTCCAGGGCCAGGGTCAGAGCTGTGGGCTGACAAAGCCAGGGCCTCTCTGTCCACAGAGGGGCCTGGGGCCCCTACTGTAGCCTACATGCTTGGCCATGGATGGGGGAGGTGGGTGGGTGGTGAAGACCACACACACAGGCCACCTGGGATCCAGGTAGGGAGGGGGCAGTAGGCTCCTTGTTGGGGAGAGGGGGCCTCCGATCAAGCTGAGAGGCCACTGTGGAAGGCAGGGTGTGGAACCAGAGGATCTGGACCCTGTTGGCTCGTGGTCTTGCAGCCACGGAAGGAGGGGGATGTGTCTCAGTGACACTGGAACCTCAGAGGGCCGGGTGTGAGGGCCCCAGAGACACTAGGACCTCAGAGGTCCAGGTGTGAGAGCCTCTGGTACAGACCCACTGAGGGAGCGGAGGCCCATGCTTTGCTGGGAAATGACAGGTGGAGGTGAGGGACTCTTGGGGCGGTGGACAGTTTGGAGACCAAGTGCAGAGCTGCTCGTGGCAGCTCAGAGCGTGGGGCAGAGGAGGGTGATGTCCCAGGAAGGGAGCCCTACACAGGCTTAGAGTGCACAGCATGCTGTCCGGCTCCCATGGGCAGGGTGGGCCCCGGTCTCCCCAGGCCCTGGACCAGCCCTGCCTCCCAGTGCCCATCATCCTGCAGGCTGGACCCGGGCCCTGCCTTTTGGTCAGATAGGTCCAGTTCCATTCTGCCCCCTGTCTGTTCCCCTGAGACCCTCCTCTCACTCCCTGCTGTGGGGCTGGCCTAGAGGTTGAGGCCTCTGACTCAGAGTTTCTTCCGGCTGTAGAACTTCTGGAGGTTTATATTCCGGAAGAACCTGCCCACCACCGCCCTCTGTCAGATGGAATTTGCCGTCCTGGGCCTCGGGGACTCCTCATACACCAAGTGAGTAGAGGATGGGACAGTGGGCGGACGGAACAGTTCTGGGGGTTGAGCAACAGGTGTGCTGGCAGAGGGCAGAGACCAGCTTCCAGGGTCGGCCCCTGCAGGCCACAGGGCCCTTGCGGCAATGCTGGCTTCTCGTCCACAAAGCTCCGTGGTGAGCACCCCAGGCTTCACGCTGCAGGGAGGGAACAGGGGAGCAGGCAGGGTGGCAGAGGGCTGGGCTCAGAGCCAAGCTGATGTCACACAGGCCAACCTGGCGCCAGTCCCCACTTTTACAAAAAGGTGTGCTGTGAAGTGTTCACGACTTCAAGCCTGGAGGGGGACCCTGTACGCTCCTGCCACCCCAGAGGCCGCCTCTACCTTTTCTCCTGGGCATTTTCACAGTGATCCTCTGCACCCTGAGCAAGGAGTAATGTGTTCAATGTGCAAATGGCATCTTTAGACCCCACAACAGAGAAAACCCTGACTGTCCACATAGGGCCCAGGTCCGGTGAGCACTAGGCATCAAAAGCTGTGTGCGTAGCGGGGTGTCAGTCACTTCAGATGAAAAACAGAGAACAGGAAGATCAGAGGCAGCCGCCACCCCGGTTCTGCTGGGAGGTTTTGTTCCATGCATGATGTAGTTCCATGTGCGACATAGTTCCATGTGTGATGTAGTTCTGTGCGTGACGTTGGTCAGTGTGGGATGCAGTGTTCGTTCAGGCGAGGGAGGGAGCCCGGCTGCTGACGGCGTTCCCAGGGAGGAGCGTGACCCGGAGCCAGTCATGCCTCTCGGAACCAGAGTGAGAAGTGAAACTGACCCCTAAGAGGATGCCTGGCTCTTCCCCAGCACAGAGTTTCTTAGCTGAGGAGTGACCCACACCGTGGCTGGGGGCCTGGAGGCATCAGCTGCCTCAAGTCCCTGCCCAGGAATGAGGGCCCATCAGTGGGACGAGACCACATGCTCCCACCCACACAGGCTCATTCTCCGCCAGCAGAGGACCTGCTGCTTGGGGCCCTGGCGCTGCCTTGATCTCGGCAGCCCCTGTCGTGTGGAGGCCCTGCCCCTCCTAGGGTGCAGCCAGTGGGAAGCGTGTTTTCCCCCCGAGGAAGGCCGTCCCCAGGCTCCACTCTCCACCCAGGCTCCACTCTTGGGTCCCACTCTGCCTGGGCACCACTCTCGGCCCAGGACCAGCCTCACTGTCTCCACAGGTTCAACTTCGTGGCCAAGAAGCTGCACCGACGGCTACTGCAGCTTGGGGGCAGTGCCCTCTTGCCCGTGTGCCTGGGCGATGACCAGCATGAGCTGGGGTGAGTCTGCGGGCGTGGTACCCACCTCCACAGTCTGGCCACACGCTGGGTCTGCTCAGGCCAGCACACGTGCTCCCTCCCAGGCCCGACGCTGCTGTGGACCCCTGGCTGCGAGACTTGTGGGACAGGGTTCTGAGTCTGCTCCCACCGCCTCCGGACCTTGCCGAGATCCCTCCTGGAGTCCCGTGAGTGTGGGCCCCGGGTCACCCACAGGTGCAGCAGACCCAACCCGGCCTGGGGACCTTGCCCTGGGTCCCTCCCGTGTGGGTGGGCAGCCCCTGGGGAGGGGTCCTGGTCTGACGAGCATGCCCTCCCACAGCCTGCCCTCCAAGTTCACCCTGCTGTTCCTCCAAGAGGCGCCCAGCATGGGCTCTGAGGGGCAGCAGGTAGCTTACCCCGGCTCTCAGGAGCCCCCGTCAGAGTCGAAGCCCTTCCTAGCACCCATGATCTCCAACCAGAGAGTCACTGGCCCCTCCCACTTCCAGGACGTTCGGCTGATTGAGTTTGACATCTCGGGCTCTGGCATCAGGTGAGGCCTGAGCACGGCCCAAGACACCAAGCAGGCAGTGGGGACTGCTGGGGACCGAGGAGGGCACAGTGAGGTGGGCCGTGGGTCTGGGGTTCAGAGGAGGCCAGGCCGGGCTGCAGAGGATGGCTTCCGTCCGGGGCCCTCAGTGTCCTGCCCGCAGAGTCCCCACAGCCCTGGTGGCTTCTTCCATACAGTTTTGCTGCTGGCGATGTGGTGCTGATTCAGCCCTCCAACTCGGCTGCCCATGTCCAGCAGTTCTGCCAGGTGCTGGGCCTGGACCCTGACCAGCTCTTCACGCTGCAGCCACGGGAGCCAGGTGAGCCCGGCCTCGGCCACCCTGACTCTCTGCCCTCTCCCATGCCCTGGGCCCCCACCCCAAGGGCCCCGCCGCAGCTCACGGAGACCTGCCGCTCACCCTGCAGATGTCTCCTGCCCCACGAGGCTGCCCCAGCCCTGCTCCATGCGGCACCTCGTGTCCCACTACCTGGACATCGCCAGCGTGCCTCGCCGCTCCTTCTTCGAGCTCCTGGCCTGTCTATCCCTCCATGAGCTGGAGCGGGAGAAGCTGCTGGAGTTCAGTTCTGCCCAAGGCCAGGAGGAGCTCTTTGAATACTGCAACCGGCCCCGCAGGACCATCCTGGAGGTGAGGTGGGCGGGCGGCAGGCCCAGCCCCTGAGGCCACAGCCACGCTGCAGCCACCCTGAGACTCTCTTTGCCTAGGTGCTCTGTGACTTCCCGCACACAGCTGCTGCCATCCCTCCTGACTACCTGTTGGACCTCATCCCTGCTATCCGGCCGAGGGCCTTCTCCATCGCCTCCTCGATGCTGGTGAGGGGCCCGGTGGGTGGAGGCCAGGACCGGCCCCGGGAAAGCTGGGACTGTGGCTGTGGGGCTTTGTAGGCAGGGGCTGCCCTCTGAGCAGTTGACGTTCCCCCACTCAGACTGCCCCTGGGGGAGGTAGGTGGGGCCCATGGCCCAGGCACAGGTGAGGGCAGCCTTGTTCCACCACCCCTACCCCCGCCGTCCTCCCCAGGCTCGCCCCTCACCCCCCCCGCCGTCCTCCCGAGGCTCACCCTCACCCTCCCCGCCGTCCTCCCCAGGCTCGCCCCTCACCTCCCTCGCCGTCCTCCACAGGCTCACCCCTCACGGCTGCAGATCCTCGTGGCTGTCGTGCAGTTCCAGACTCGCCTCAAGGAGCCCCGCCGGGGGCTCTGCTCCTCCTGGCTGGCATCCCTGGACCCTGGGCAAGGTGACCCCTGCTCCCAGGGTGGGGGCCGTGGGCCAGTATCCCCTTCTCTCCCATGCTCACGCAAATGCTGGGCTAGGGCCCTAGCAGATGAAGCACAGGTCTTTGATCCTCTTCATACCACTTCCCTCCTGCAATAGGTCCTGTCCGGGTGCCCCTCTGGGTGCGGCCTGGGAGTCTGGCCTTCCCACAGACACCAGACACGCCCGTGATCATGGTGGGGCCTGGCACTGGGGTAGCCCCCTTCCGAGCAGCCATCCAGGAGCGTGTGGCCCAGGGCCAGACCAGTGAGCACCTAGGGTCCCAGGGCAGGGTTGTGGCCGGGGCTCCCCAGCTGAACCTCAAGGACCTGTGGCCAAGAGCACCTTGCATTTCCCTAGGAAACTTCTTGTTTTTTGGCTGCCGCTGGCGGGACCAAGACTTCTACTGGGAGGCGGAGTGGCAGGAGCTGGAGACTCGGGAGTGTCTGACCCTTGTCCCTGCCTTCTCCCGGGAACAGGTGTGTGTGCTCAGGGGCTGGGAAGGGAGGGGAGGGGGCTCAGACTCAGCTGTCAGCCCTGTTCTCTGCCCTACAGGAGCAGAAAGTGTACGTGCAGCACCGGCTCCGGGAGCTGGGGTCGCTCGTGTGGGAGCTGCTGGACCGCCAGGGCGCATACTTCTACCTGGCAGGGTGAGCTGGCCTTGGTGCAGCAGGACTGGGCCCAGTCCCTGGGTGCCGGGCCTCACTGAGCCTTCTGCGACCTACCCCTCTAGCAATGCCAAGTCCATGCCAGCGGACGTCTCGGAGGCCCTGATGTCCATCTTCCAGGAGGACGGCGGACTCTGCAGCCCCGATGCAGCCGCATATCTAGCCAGGCTCCAGCGGACACAGCGCTTCCAGACCGAGACGTGGGCCTGAGGCCCGAGGCTGCCCGTGCCCCCTCTGATGGCCATCCTCCTGGGAGCCCAGGAAGGCATCCACGAGGGAGCTCCTGGCCAGCAGCCGTCGTCTTCTCAGACCAGCCAGCTGGTCCTCTGGGAACAGCCAGCTCCCGAGCACAGCCACACTCCCGTTGACTCTGGATCCCACCCTTTGAACCCTGACCCCACTGCAGCCTCTGCCCAGCCAGTCCTCCCCTCCCACACCCTGACAGTGAGCTGTGTCCTCGTCCCCCCTACCCCCTTCCCAGTCAAGGTGGTGGCCTGGGCCTCTTCACTTCACCAGTGAAGTGACCCAGGACGGCATCAGCAGCCCCATGGGCACCAGGGGTGGCATAGGGCACCCATGAGGCCGCACTGCGCTCCTCTGCCCTGGGGCCACCTCAGCCGCTGCAGCCTGCCAAGCAGCACATTCCAGTCACTGCCCCCGCACCTCCACAGGGCTCAGGCTGTGCTCAGACGCCACTAAGATGCCAGCTCCCTGAGAGCAGTGGGGGTGTCCCAGGCCAGAGCAACGTGTTCTCTCCTGGTCCCAGAAAAGCCCTTGCAGTAAATGGTGGCCTCTGAGTGGCTGCTTCTAGCACAGGCTTCTTTCCTCTAGCTCCTCCTGGTGCCCTGGGTGCTGGGTGGGTGGGTGCCATGGTGCACCGTTGCTGGGCTGCCTGTACCCCAGTGGCCTCTGCAGCTCTTCTGTCTGTCTCTAATGTGATATGCGCCCTGACTGCCTCGTTCTCAAGGGCTTGGTGGGTCGGCTAAGGTCTGATCGCCAGGACCAGATTCTGGGCAGGTGCTGGGAAGGTGTAGCCAAGCCGTCCCTCAGTCCTACCAGGGAGCCGAGGCTGCCGGAAAGAGGAGCGGCGGGAGGGGGCGTGGTAGGTGCAGGCCCGCCCCTGGGAGGGGTTTTAGGCACTGGGAAGAAAAGTCCTGTTGGAGGAGTCCGGCGGCTGTTCACACCCGCCTCGCTGTCTCGGAGTCGCTATCTGTGGTCGGCGGGTCGCTGGCACAGGACTAAACATGGCTGAGGCTGGGTTCCAGCCAGATCTGACTGGGGACGGCACCATGTGGGCCCAGGATCCACCCAGAGCAGGCAGGCCTTGCTGGGGCCCCAGTAAAATCCAATTCCAGTGAAGAGAGCCAGCCGGGAGGTCAGTGCCAGAGCCCTGGTGGAGCCCAGACCCTGCTTCCCCTTGAGGGCTGCCCCTGTTGCCACCCTGGGGTCCCTGCCCTCCTATCCTGACTCCTGCCCCAGGGCTACCACCCCTGAACTGTGCCCTGGGGCCCCCACCCTCCACCCGGCCGACTCCAGCTCTGGGCCTATCAGTCCACCTGGACCTTTTCTGGGCTTTGAGTGCTTGGACCCTGTGTGCCAAGTGCCAGCAAGTGAAGGGAATGACCTTGGGCCCCCCCAAGGTGCCGAGACTCCAGCCAGTGAGCCCCTGCTGGGGGCCGTGGCCATGGAGGGTGCCTGTGCCCTTCCAACTTGGAAGGAGGAGCGGAGAGAACAGGCAGTGGGGCAGGGGGAAGAGGAGGAGTGTCCAATCTGCACAGAGCCTTACGGGGCCGGAGAGTACCGCCTGGCCTTGCTGAACTGCGGCCATGGCCTGTGTGCGGGCTGCCTGCACAGGCTTCTGGGCTCGGCCCCCAGTGCCGACCTGGGCCGGGTGCGCTGCCCGCTGTGCCGTCAGAAGACGCCCATGCTGGAGTGGGAGATCTGCCGACTGCAGGAGGAGCTGCTACAGGCCGACGGGCCCTCACACCAGCCCCGCCGAGAGACCCCTGTACCCCAGCACCGCAACCCTGGGCCCTGGGGGTCCCTGGAGCACCGCTACCACCTGCGCTTCCTGGCAGGGCCCGCGGGCAGCCGGGGCTGCCTGCCCTTCCTGCCCTGTCCACCCTGCCTGGGTGCCCAGCTCTGGGCCCTGCGGGAGCGGGGACCCTGTGCCCGCCGCCTGGTGCTGCTGAGCCTGCTGGCCCTTGAGCTGCTGGGGCTGCTGCTGGTCTTCACGCCACTCGTGCTGCTGGGGCTGCTTTTCATGCTGCTGGACCGCTCTGGCCGCTGAGCAGAGCCCAGGACAACCCTGACGCCAACAGGCCAGGGGGGCCCAGACTGACCCACGTCCCCATGCCTGGGTGCTGTGAGGCCTGATGACCAGACTGAAAAACCCAAGGTTGGGTCCAGGGCAGTGGCCTTCAATCAAGACCTCCCATTGCTGAACCCACGACCAGGGCTACCCAGGAGCCTGACCCTGCCAGAGTCCATGGCTGTACTGCTGCCCAGACACTAACTGAACCCAAGGACACTGGTGCCCAAGGACAGCTTCTGGAGGAGGCTGGCCCAGCAGGAAGGTCTGCGAGCAGGGCCCCATTCACCTTGCAGTAGATGGGCACCATACTGGCCATGGGCCGATGCTGGCCGCACTTACCCTTCCGAGGGCCAGCCAGGCACAGCAGGCATGAAAGTGAACAGAGATACAGCAGTGAGTTCCTTGGAGAGAGCAGGGACTCCACCCACTTTGTGTTCAGATAAGGGCCAGCCGGGGGAGGGGCCCATGCTGCGAAAATTCAGCCTGCAAAGGCTCCTCTCCCCACCTGGTCAGGCCTGGACTAGCTGGGGGTCGGTGCTGGCCTTTGTTGCAGGGGATGAGGGCCCATCCAGACCTTGGAACATAAGCACCAGGCCCAGCTCTGCCTCTGCACACCCTCATGTCACCACGCCTGGGATGGAGACATCGGTGGCCCAGCGAGAGATGGAGCACTGAGCCTCGAACGTGAAGCAGCTTTCAATAAACCAGCTCCTGGGGATGCCATTGTTACTGCTTGTCTTTGTTACCCCATTTTCACCATCTGGGTGGGCTCTTATTTATTTATTTATTTATTTTTGAGACAGAGTCTCACTCTGTTGCTCAGGTTGGAGTGCAGTGGCACGATTTCTGCTCACTGCAACCTCCACCTCCTGAGTTCAAGCAATTCTCTTGCCTCACCCTCCTGAATAGCTGGAATTACAGGCACGCGCCACCACACCTGGCTAATTTTTTTGTATTTTTAGTAGAGAAGAGGTTTCACCACGTTGGCCAGCCTCGTTTTGAACTCCTGACCTCAGGTGATCCATCTGCCTCGGCCTACTGAAGTGCTGGGATTTCAGGCGTGAGACAGCACACCCAGCCTGGGGTGGGCTCTTCCTCACACCCAGGTGATCCAGGTGCCAGACAGGAGGTACTGGGTCCTTCTTCCCCTACCACCCTCTCAGCCGGTCTTTGTCCCTAACCCCTGCACAGATGCCCATAGACAGATGCCCCTCACAACCTTGGAAGATCCAGGTGGGTGCTCAGGGCCAGGTGGACGCCAGGAGGGAAATCAACTGAATTGTCCCCCATACCATTGAAAATGTCCCTCCGCCCAGCTGGGGTGGCTCTGTACACCCACCACACAGCCCCGCCAGGCGCACATAAGCAGCCCACTGTACGTGTGGGGGTTTGCACCCACGCTCACAGCCCAGCCCAGTCCCCAGTGCGCAGAGCAGGCCCACCCTGAGCAGTGCTGGGCCTCTCTCTGGAAGCTCCAAGCTGGGCCCTGTCTGGATTGCAGCCCTGGGTGCCCACCATAGGCCTAGGCCTGAGCACAGCCCACAGGAGCAAGCTTCAGTCCAGGGAACAGGTGCAAACTTTGGCAAAGAGTTTTAATGGCAAAGTTGGCTGCAGCGACAATGCCACTTGGGGTGGGGCCAGAAGCCATGGTGGGGAAGGAAGGGTCAGCGGGCGGCAGGGCAGGGCTGGGTCCCTGAAGAAGCGGCGAGTGAGGCTCAGCGGGCAGTGGCGGGCGGGCAGGCACTACTACATGATGGAGCAGGCGGACAGTGGGTTCCGCACGTGGCAGGTGCACGCGGCCCCACAGTACTGCCGGAAGGTCTGGTAGCAGCTGCCCTCGGGCTCAGCCCCCCACTGACCCCCGGATGGGGCTGTCAGCGCCTCGGGCGGCAGGCGGCTCAGGATGGATGTGTTGACAGCCAGCGCCGCCAGGCCGTAGTCGGTGAAGAGCACAGTCTCGCGGCGGCAGGTGGGGCAGGAGATGAACTTGTACTTGGGGCAGGACTCGTAGAGAATCTGCAGGCACTGCTCACACACAGAGTGCAGGCAGGACAGCACCCGGGGCCGCCGCTGGGTGACGTTGTAGGTGTGCCCACAGGTGGGGCACTCCAGGGGCTCACCTGCCGCTGCCGAAGAAGCCGCCGAGGCCGAGGGGCCGGGCCGAATCACATACTGATTCACAATGACCTCATCCTCCGGGGCTACACGGGGAAAACCCAGCTCTGTGCTTCCCTTACGGGGTCTCCGCGGCAGTGGCGGGGTATGGGGTGCCCCTTCCAAGGCAGGCATGTCCCCCCCACATGCCTGGTTGACAATGATCTCTGTGTCTGAGGGCCAGGCACGCTTGGGTGCCAGAGTTGGGGTGGGCCGGGGAGCAGGCGGGAAGCAGGGGGCAGCCGGTAGCTCAGGGAACTTTTCAGGGTGGACAATCTTCATGGCCTCCATCTTGAGGATGACATGGGGGCCCTTCAGGCAGGACATGAGGAGGCCCGGCCAGCCACTGCCCGCCTCGGGCCCGGGGTCAGAGGGCATCCGGCTGTCTCCAGTCAGACTGGATGTTCGGGTGGGTGGGGGCGTTGTGTGCGGCTGGGGGGCAGGTGACAGGGCAGCATCCTGGTCCCGCCAGGCCTGAGGGAGCCCCCGGCCAGCCCGTGGACTCCTACTAGGGGCAGCCGGCGAGAGTTGGGGGCGCAGGGCCCCCCCCAGTGGCCACAGTGGCTTCTCTGGTCCAGTCCTGGGAGGAGGAGGAAGGGGTGGGGGAGGGGGAGGCAGGCGGGGGCAAGGGGGTGTGGGAGGCTGCCCTGGCCTGGGGGTCTGGCCCAGGGTCTCACCCAGGGTCTCTGGCTGCTGAGGCTGGCGAGGGGGCGCGGGGGGGGCTCCCCCTGTAGCCGAGGTCAGCAGGCCGCGGGCCGGGACATCGGGGCAGGCAGGGGCTGGGTGAGCCCCATGGCTCCAGGACAGGGCGCCCAGGGAAGGCAGCTAGCCGAAGCGCTGGCTGCAGGAGGACCCGGGCGGCAGGCTCCGCGGCAGGAGCAGAGGCGAGGCCTGGACCAGGCCTGAGCTGCAGGTGAGAGACGGCATGAGGGCAGTGCTCGGGCTACCTCCACCCTAGCCCTCGCCGGGCACAAAGGACCGGGCGCCCGACCTCTGACCCTGACCTCAGTCGTGGGATCCCGACCTCCGCGGGGCTTGGAACCCAACCCCCTCCCCGGTCCCCGCCTCCAAGGCCAGACGCACCTTCCCGAGGGCCGACCCCCGTCGCGTGGGGAGGGGCGCTGAGTCCGCCCCCGGCCCCCGCCCCCTGCGCTCACCTGCCCCAGCCTGGCGTCCCGGCCGCGCGCCGCCGCTGCAGAGGTTGTCTCAAAGGCAGGCCCGGACGCGGCGCCCGCGTCTTGGCCTGGCAGCTTGGGGGGCTCCGGCGGCTCCCGCGGCGGCCGCAGCGACCTCAGGCGATGGCAGGGCCCGGGCGGCACCGAGGGGCGCGGGCGCGGGCGCGGGGCGCGGGTTTCGGCGCGGCGGCGGCAGCGGCAGGTGCGTGCGGAGCGTGGCGCGCTCTGCGGCGGAGGCGCGGGGACCGCAGTGCGCGCGGCGCCCGCCCGCGCCCGCAGCGCCACCCCCCGTCTGGGGACCCGCGCGGGGTCTGCGGGGCGGGGCCACCTCCCGGCCGCCCCTCGGTCCGCTCCCGGCGTCGCCCTCGCTGGCGGACTGCGTGGGGGGCAGGACCCCCGCGTCTCCCCCAGTTCTCTCCAGGCTGACCCTGGGTCCTGGTCAAGCCTCCCGCCTCCAAATTCCGGAGGGGAATCCGGCTGTTCTCCTCCCTCACACTAGGAGGCCTCAGGACGCTGGAGGGAGAGGGAGGGGACCTGCGCGGTGGATCCCAGGGGAGCTGGTTCCAGAGCCCACCGGTGCCTGCCCCCGCCCCCCGCCCCATGGGAAGTCCCCGAGTCCTCCAGCTTCGCCTAAGCCCGGTGCCGCAGCTCAAAGAGGGTGTTGTGACCCTAAGGGGCAAGAGCTGGGCGGGTGGAGCGGGTCAGAGGGCCGACGCCGGTGGACGGACGGGTCCGGTGGGAGTGCGCGAAGGACAGGCTGGCAGCCCAGTGCGGGGCGCAGGCGGCCCTGAGGACCGCACCTGCCCAGACAGGGTGGCCTCCGGCACTCCAGCGCGCAGGCCCGGGGCCTCTCCGCTTCCTCACCCGGGGCTTCCCTGCCTTCCTGGGTCCGCCTTCTGCCTGTGGAGCCCTCGGCTTGCTGGTCACCGCGGGGTAGCGGACCAGGGCTTCGAGGGCCTCCGCTGCCACGCTGTGACCAGCTCTGGCCCCGCACCTGGCCCTGAACAGCCTGGCCTCCTTCAGCTCCTCTCTCCGCTGAACTGGCCAGACCGCACCTGCTCTAGGCAGAGCCCCAGGGCCTGCAGAGTGCTGAGCTCAGAGGGGACGGTGCCCCTGGTGCGGGAGCTCGCTTGGGCAAAACAGGCTGGAGGAGCGGCCCTGCCATAGGGTCTGGCTTGGCCCCTCCGTGGGGCCTCGGGCTAGTGTCACTCAGAAGAGCAATAGGGAGAGCTGTGCGGGTGACAGGGGCGCTGCTGGAGGGGTCCTTACGGGGCCCTGGCAAGATGGTGGGGCAACTGAGGCAGCCTGGGCCTGGAGAGGGCCGGGAGCCCAGCTCCGCCGCAGGCTCTGCTCGCCGACCCGGCGCGCGCCCGAGGAAGCACCAGGCCGCAGGCCCCGCCCCCTCCGGGAGACCCCGCCCCGTAAGGATGAGGCCCCGCCCCATCACGAGGCTCCGCCCCCCAGGCCCGGACTTTTCAGCTCCGCCGTTCAGAGCTGGGGAACCCCAAGCCGGGTCTTGGTCACATCCGAACCGGGTCTTTCGGGAAACCCTGGAGCGCGGAGGCTTCTGGGAAATAAAATTTCCACGACCTGGCCCTGCCTTGTTAGCGCATGCGCTATAGGCGCCACGCAAGGGGCAGGCAGAGCGGTGGGCGGGACTTCCGGTGCCTGCGCAGTGGACCTCCGTCTCCGGCCTCTTAAGTTTTGGGTCCCCAGGAGCACCCAGTTCTCCCCAAATCGGGGCCGGGTTGCCTGAACTCATGTCCCGACCGGTCTGACTGGCCCCACACAGGTCACGTCTGACTGGACCCCGCCCTTCCTGGTGCTCCCCTGGGCCCCAAGGCATAGGTCGCCCCCGCGGCACTCTCCGGTGCCCGCTGCACCCCTGCCTGCGCCGGTGCTCGGCTGGAGGCGGGGGGCCCAGGGTGGGGACGCTGGTGGGACGCGTGTGGCCCCCACGCCCGCCAGCCAGAGAGTAACTGCAGTTTGAGAAATGAGCGAAAAACGTCAGTAGTGTTTAAAGCCCATGTCATTGATTGTAAGATAAGACCTTTGACAAAACGTACAAATCAAACGTTTTTTATTAGTGAAAAAAGCAGAAAAGCCATTGGGCACGGTGGCTCACGCCTGGAATCCAGCACTTTGGGAGGTGGAGTTTGAGATCAGCCTAGGCAACATAGTGAAACCTAGGTCTCTATGAAGAATCCGCCGGCCCGGTGGTGTACCTGTAGTCCTCCCAGCTACTCAGGAGGCCGACGTGGGAGGATCACTAGAGCCCAGGAGGTTGACGCCACAGTGAACCAGATCATGCCACTGCACCTCAGCCTGGATGGAAAAGTGAGACCCTGTCTCAAACAGAAATCGGCTGGGCGCGGTGGCTCACGCCTGT